TGAATATCTTAAGCAAAAATGTGAATACTCTTATAGTTTGTTTTATAACTGGCTTATGTAACAATATAATGTGAACATTTTTTCAGGTCAATATATGTGGATTCACATCATCTCTTACAGTGGCTTTATTATATCCTATTATATGAATATGCCATAATTTATTCAATCAGCCCTCTCATCTTAGATAGGGAGGTTGCTAGCAGTTTATGCCTCATCTTCCCAGGCTGCCCATTTCCCCATGCTGCTCCATGTACTGGCTATGATACTGCTGTAGTCAGCAGCTAAAACATATATACATGAAACTTAACCCTCCTCTTTTTTTGTCCCTTTTCCTGCATGTCTCTCTCAGATAAGAAGGCTGACTGCACAATTACAATGGCTGACTCAGACTTAATAGATTTAATGACTGGCAAAATGAATCCTCAGTCGGTAAGTAGATGAAGTGTGCATATATCCTTCTAGTAGGTGGCTCTTTCTAGCTCTTCCCACCTCATCTGCCTTATGCCCTAGAATACCAAAGGGTCAGACCCACCCAAAACTCAGAGTGTCCACTTAAAAATGGCAGATATTAGTGGAACAATCTACATGCCAGGCACTATTCTGCATGCTGGAAATACTCGATGAATAAGAAATCGTTCCCATGCTCAGGGCACCCACAGTTTGGTAGGAAACAGATCTGAAAGAATAGGCATAGCCATAGGCCCAAGGTGCCTCTCCAGCCTGTGGTAGGAGAGGATGAGGAAGGAGCACCCATGTCTGCTGGGGCCATCAGGGCAGGTCTCACAGAGGCAGCAGTGATTGAGTTGAGTCCTGAGATGGTCATCAGCTGGTGAAGAACATTCCAGGCAGAGGGAGCAGTGTGAGTAAAGTGTAACCTACGTTTCATACCTTTGTCTGTTACTCTTCTTGCTTCAGCTCTCAAGAACTTTCCTGACACACTCCAACTTGCAAAATCAGCTCACACAATTCTCTCCAAGGAACTCCTTCCCAGGTGTTAGGGAGCTGTGGCCAGGCCCTTACTGGACTTTAACTTAGCACTTGTCACACTATGCTAGTCAGAATGTGCCTCTCTCTTCCCCATTAAATTGTGAGCTTTTCAAAGGAAGGAACCACAGTTTATTCATCTTTGTGTTTCCAGAGTTTAGCACAATGCCTAACATTTTTAGGTGTTCCGTAGACAGTTGTTGGATTAAATTTGTTGAAAAAGTACTATATACCTTGTACAGATTTTCCAGGTCCCAAAATTTTCATGGGCCATAGCACAGTGTAGAAACCCACTTGATGAGCTGAGCTTACAGATGGTTAGGGGTGACAAAAAAGAAGCACAGTCACTCCTTTCCATTATAGCTCTATATTTTTGTTGCCTCAACCTTATTAGTTTTAGTTCTTAGTCCTGAGGTTCCCTGGTAATTTGCAAGATCGGATAAAACAACAAAATCTTAATCCCACTCTTACTTTTTTCTCAAATGCTTTTTCTGAGCAGCTAAATATGTGCCAGTTGATGCCTTGACGAGTGAGGGATTTTTATCTGTGACATGTTTCAGCTGAATACATTGGCACTGATATTTCTATCCACAGAGCCTGTTCCAGAAACCTGGACAGAACAGAGGCCACCAGTGTAGGAGCTGGCTGTCATCCCCTTCCCACCCACTGCTCCCCACTGTGCACTCAAGCACAGTGTTGGCCAGAGGTCGGGACTTCACACATCAGCTGCCCTCATTCTCTCAGTTGGCCTGGGTCCTGCCCATTTTTTGGGGAGAAGTGTCAGCGTATTTTTCTTAAACACCTGTTAACACCCAAAGGAATTAAAGATAAAACAGCAGACCTTTCTATTAATGTGTTAATGGCCTTCCCTTGTGTTCAGTAGAGGATTTGACTGGAACCCATTAAATGCAGTGGAAATTCTCATTTCAGTGTTTGGCTCCAGTTGAAACAAAGCAATGCCTTCTCCAGCAGAAAGCACATATCCAGAACACCTAGGGGCCAGATTAAAACGATCCTTATGTTTGGATTCCCTAAAGAGTGAAAAGTCATGTTTTCTCTGTTAATAGTAAATAAAAAAAATCATTTTCTCTTGTAACTTAAAAAAGGGGAAGATGATGAGTTTCTCTTTTAGGCACTATTGGTCTATATTTGTAAAGAACATATGTTAAATATATTGTGTTCTGAGACATCTGACCTTTAAATCATCAGACAGAAGGCTTTGTGCCATATAGAAGGGAAATATTTAGTTTGTCCAGACACAAGAGGGAAAAAAAAGAGAATTAGTCACCCTTACTAGGAGGTGTAGAAAAAGCAGAGCTCTGTGATTCCCTTGGAAGATGCAGAAGGAGGAGGTCCTGGCTTCCAGTGCCCTTACTTCAGAAGCTAAGGCGACCAGAAACATTTTTCATCTAGCCCCTCCTTATTTTAAGAACTGAGTTAGAAGACTGAGATCACAGTAGCAGGAAAATCATACTATTTCCCAATTTTGCGATTTCTCTTAAGTTTTCTCAGGATTTTGTTACATGGTGAATTTCATGAACATCATGTGATCCGATCCCAGCCAGTTGTTAAAGTGGAACTTATGGCTCTACACTTCACATTGGTTTGGTTCCTCTTATTGAGCCTTAAAGTAACACAAGCCCCCTAGTCTCAGCAGGCCGGCTGTCTTCAGTAGGGATAACTCCTTGATCACGTAGATAATAAAATAAAACTAAATTGGTGGCATTTAATCCACATTGTACTGAATCCCAAGAGATTATAAGTGTGTTTTGCATGTGCTTTTTCTCCTAGAAGACTACTGAAATTTTCACTTCATCTTCCCAACCCACATTTAATGTTTGTACACAAAATACACTAGTATGAGCCCACTCTGCGTAGTATTTAGAAAATGTACCCCCTTTAAGGAAGGTGGAGCTCTGGTGGTGCAGTGCCTAAAGCATTTGACTGCTAACCAGACAGTTGGCACTTCAACTGGAAGGAAGATGGGGCAATCTACTTCTATAAAGATTTATCACCTCACAAATTCAATGGGGGTCGCTATGAGTAGGAATCGACTCCATGGCAGTGAGTTTGGTTTTGGTTTTAGTTAAGGAAGGTAGGTAAGAAGGCAGACTCGGTCCTAAGGGAAAAGTTTAGAAAGGTGTTCCTTTTGACTGTTTTGTGTTAAGCATGGCTTTTAGATTCTTCCTTTTGAGAACTCTAGTTCTAATTCTATTCCAAGAAGTCAGGTTTCATATTTTGGAGAAATTTAAGTGACCTGAATAACTTGATGGTCTCAGGGGGCTAGGTAGTCTTAGAAGTATCAGTAGTCTCAAAAGAAAAACTACCAAGTAATGAATTTTTCTTTCTTACTCACAGGCCTTCTTTCAAGGCAAATTGAAAATCACTGGCAACATGGGTATGGCTTTGAAGTTACAAAATCTTCAGCTTCAGCCTGGCAAAGCAAAGCTGTGAAGAATTCCCTTTGGCCATTTTTGAAAATCAAGATGAGACACATAGAAATATATCCATATGTTTCATTGTCAGAAATTAGACTGAAACTCAGCATTGGCAAATAGCATGGGGTAGATTTGTTTTGAAATGGGTGTGACCAATCCTGTTTTCCCTAAGCTGTGGGTGAATGAAGCCTGGTGGTGCCCTACTGCTTTGCTGAATTGTATACAACTGTGCATCGCAAAGTTAATATGGTAGTTATGGTTTGAGGTAACATGGAGTTTCAGAATAAAATTAGGAATAGTAAAATCCAAAAACTATGTAAACAAAACTCTCACTTTGCTTACAAAGTATATTTAAGGATTATTCTGCTGAAGATTCAGTTTAAGAGGTTTTTTTGGGGGAGAACTAGGGAAAAAACAGCCTACCTGTAATTAGTGTTGTGCACTTAATAACCTTAATCTATTTTCCATTAATAGTTTTTAAAATTCTGTACTGGGAATTAAAATTAAAAGAAAAAAAACACTTTTTAATTTTGCATTGATGCACTCAAAGTGGTATTTTCTTCCCAAATCAAATTAAAAGAAATATGATTAGAGCTTGGGAATAGAAAACATCTACAGCTGATCACAGACCTATTTTTTAAATAAAAATATCTTAGAAATGGTTTTTTTCTTGAAAAATCAGTGTGTTTGAGTCATAAAACAACTATTGTGAAAAATAACTGAATAAATGAAATTTGCTTTGAGATGCACAGTTTTCAAATTATCTATTAACTAAATATAATATGTAAAGCTTTCAGTTCTTTGTTATAATTTTCCTTTTTCATATAATTTAGTTTAACTGCTTATTCTTACTTAATTTATCTTTTTCCTAGATTTTCTAATGCTGATGTAACTATTTCTTATAAATCAATGAGATATGGGGTATAATAATGCTTTTGGAAGAATGTTTAATAGAAAATTAAAACAGCTCTTCCTGATCTTTGTTTTCACTGTGTTATGTTCTTTTTGCTCAGCGTTTTCTAGATGATGGAGCCTAAAAGGAAACATTGGGGGATTCTACAAGCTGTTAACTAGACATTCTCCACTGGATAAGTTGACATATCGCCCATTCTTGATTAGGGAGGCAGTGAGGTATAACGGTGAGAGCACTTGGCCACTAGCTGGGAGACTTGTTCTCTTAGGCAAATAATAAATAACTGCCTGCCTGGCCTGTTTGCTAAATAGTTAAAAGGGGGCTGGGGGGCGGGCTTAAATAGATGTTCTCCAAGGTTCCTTCTCTTGAGGTCTTATAATCAGAGCTGGGCGGAACTGTTTGGGGGTTAACCACCTTTCTGTTGTTAACACGTATTTTCACTCACAGATGGCCAGAGGTAAAAGCCATTTGGTTTCGTTTGTTTGGGGGGACTGCGCTAATCAAATCTGGACTGTGATGAGACCATTTAGCTTTTCATGTTCTGTGACCAACATGATGGGGCAACAAGGTGAATTAAGCCAGGATTAAATTGGTCTTAATTCCCATAAAAGAAACTGAGAACACAATCCTTCCTTCCTAATCATAGGAGCTTACTGAGAAAAAGATGACTTTAAGAAAAAAGTTCAGAGCTATTTTGATTTGTCATAGTTTTGATTTGCAGCATCCTTCTGCCCTCACTTGCCCTGGATAACAATAGAGTTTTGGTTCTCTAGTGCTGCTCTAACAGAAATACCATGGGTGGGTGGCTTTAACAAACAGATTTATTCTCTCACAGTTTAGGAGGCTAGAAGTCTGAGTTCAAAGTGCCGGCTCTAGGGACTGGATGAAAGCCTCTCAGCCCTGGGTTTCAGCTCTGCCCCTTGCTCCCAGCCCACTGGAGCTGGAAGCATTTCTTAACTCAGGCAGCTGCTGGCTGCTGAGGCTGACAAACCCAAGGTCAACACGTGAAATGGCACAATCCCAAGATAATCAAGCAACAGGGCAGGCCACTAGTTTAAGTCCAGAAACAGTCCCAACATTGGCAGGCAGTGTGGCAGGCTGCTGAATGAAGACTCAGCTACATGCAGGATCCAAGAGTGCCAAAAACTGCAGAGACCTTTCTCAAAGCTGCCTTACATACTAGAAGCAGACCACATCCCTAAGGCAGCAACTCAGCTGGTCACAGCAGATTCCACTATGGAGTTGATTACCAGTCTCATCATGGGGAATATGACATCCAGCTGCCCAGCCACTCATACCCAGGCCCACCCAAGTTGACACATAACCTTAACTACCACAAATAGATACCTGAAATAGGATGAGTTTATAAAGTAAAAGCAAACAAAATATAAAAGCAAAAACTAGTTCTTGAAGTAGAAATATATTCATATGTGCATATAATTTATGTGTGCAATAGAAAGCACTTAGTGGTGATATACAGTAGCAGTTTAACTCCTAGGAAAGAAGAAAAAGAGATCTGGGTAAAAATTATTGGTGTTGCTGGCTCTGCAACTTAAATAGGTTGAGCCTCAGTTACCTCATCTATGAAATGAAGATATTAATATTGACCTAGAATTATGAGAATCTCTTGTTGTTATGTGCCATCAAGTCAGACCCAACTCATAGCAACTCCTCCTTGGGTTTCTGAGGTGGTATCACTACAAAAGTAGATTGCCCAACCTTCCTTCTGAGGAGTGGCTGGTGGGTTTGAACCACCAGCCTTCTGGTTAGCAGTTAAGTGCCTTAGGCACTACCCTACCAGAGCTCCTTCTGAGACTCGAGAGAGATAATATGTGTGAAGTAACAAAAACAGTGTTAGGTATATTATAGTCATTCAGTATATGTTAGTTCCCATACTGTCCTCACCACTAATTGCTACCACCTCTCAGTGATAGGTGATATGATGTCTATAGTGTATGTCCCACTTTCTGAATCTTATTTTTTTATTATTCATTTCATTAACAACTTTTTTGAGTGCCTACTACATATACAAAAAAGAGGAAGGCCCTCAATGAAATGGATTGACACAGTGGCTGCAATGATGGGCTCAGGTATAGCAAGTATTGTGAGGCTGGCACAGGACTGAGCAGTGTTTCGTTCTGTTGCACATAGGGTCACTATGAATTGGAGCTGACTGGATTGCACCAACACCAACAACACAACTACATACAGGGTACAGTGGGAGGTACTAAAGATGGTGGTGAGCTCCTCTCCTCATGGTGCTTGCAGTCTAATAAGAAGGACAAACATTTAATCAGAGAGTTGAAACATTACAGACTGAAGTGTCATGTAGCAAATGGTCTCAGTACCATGACAGAATCACAGTAAGGGACCTTCTTTGATAAAGTGATTAAGAGAGACGTCTCTGAGGAGGTAATACTTAAGCTGAGTTTTGAAGATGGATAAGGAATGAACCATGCAAAGAGCATTGCACCAAAAGGTAGAAAGGGCCTTGGCTTGTTCCAGAAATTGCAAGAGAGCCAGTGTGAGCACAGGAATAAAGGGATGGCTCAAGATGAGGAGCCAGTTATACTGGAATTTGCTCATTATACTAAGTCATTTGTATTTCATTCTTGGGGCGGTAGAGAGCCACTGAAGGTATAGCTTTAAATATGTTTCTTTCTTATTCATGCTGCATGTCCACTTGGCCATCGTAGCCTCAGTCTGAATGAAGCCCAGGCCAGTGAAGCAGCCACTGGAATACTGTGTCGTCATGGCAGGAGGGAAGGAGAAAAAGGTGAAGTACTCATTGGCTCTTAAAGCTTCTGCCCAGAAATGATACACATCACTTCTGTTCACATTTCAATTGCCAAGCAAGTCATGTGCCTCACCTTACTTCAAAATCTTCCTATGTACTGGAAGGACAGAATGGAGTTGGAATATTTGTGAACAGACTGGTGACTATCACAGAAGAGCTGGAAGCAGAGAATAATGTGACTTAAGAACTGTCCCTGTAGCTGCTGTGTGAAGAATGTACTGGGGGCAGGGAGCTGGAGAGTAAGATGTCTGGGCACAAGAAGATGGTGCCTGAACAAGGGTGTCAGTAGTGAAGATAACGTAGAAAGGCAGGCAGTAGTACAGTTGACAAAACTTGGTAATTGGATGCAGGGGCAAGGATGACTCCCAGTGCCTGGCTGGAATGATAGGGATAGTGGGTTTCAGGGTGTGGTTGAAATAAGTTCTATTTTTGAACTTGTTAAGATGCCTGAGAGATCTCCATGTGTAGATATTGAGGGGGCAATTAGATGTAGAATATAAGGCCACTTTGGAGATGTCCAGTTGGAAAGCATGAGCAGGAGTGGTATTAAACGTTACGGGAATGGATGGAATCACCGGTGGAGGAGGGGGAGCCCACAGTAAACTTTGAGGAACTTCAGGTAGAAGAGGAGTAGGATCCACAAAAGGGATGTGGCCAGAGATGTGGAAGGAAAAATTCAAGAGAAGAGAGTGTTGCCAAAAAGTGAGAATGGTCATCTGTCAGACAGTCCTGAGAAGTCAAGTAGTATGATGTCTGAAGTGTGTCTTAGTGGATTAAATTTGGCAACATGGAAGTCACTGATGACCACTACAAAATCAGTTCAGTGTAGTAGTAGGGGTAAAAGCTAGGCTGAAGCTGGTTTCATAAATTTCTACGAGCTCCATATGGTAGTAATGGGAAATACAGTCAGTTTCCAAGTGATTAATACAGAGCAAGCACATTAGCTAATACTTATAGTTCTAAATTAGGTCATCTTGCACATGCTGTTCTCTGTGTCCCCTTACCAGTCTTTCCCTGCCACACACCCCCTTACCCACTTGGCAAATTGCTGTATGTCCTTCAGAACCCATCCCAGGTGCCTGTGCTTTCAGAAAGCTGTCCCTGTTTGCCACAAACAGCTAATCATTCCTTCCTAGTCATTCGTTTCTGCCTCTCACTGAACAGAACTTAAGGGCAAGAATTCTGTCTCATGCATCGTATTGATACCCCAGCACAGGGTCTTGGTTTACTGTTATTAAATGAGTGAAATACACTGAATATCAATTATGTATTCACAGGGGGCGTTTGTGAGGATGAGAGCCTAGTCACAGAACTGCATTCTCTATTACATTGACTTTTCATTACCCTGATGATGAAAGAGAACATTAAGAAGTCTCCCTTAGCCTGACTTACCCTGATCTTTGAAAATATTTGCAGCTTCTCAGACTTCAGCATTCAACTTCATACTGAAGCAGCTTGAGGTCATAAGAAAAGTCAGTTTATTTGTGGTCTTATTACATGCTTTTAAAAAGCAAAGTAGCCTTGTGGGTTCTGTGTGCATTTGTCTTTTTGCTGTACTCAGACACTGAGATGTCTAGAATCCTTGTTGAATATGTAGAAGAACAGGAATGAGGGCACAGATTAGGAAGTCAGAGTGTGAAGGTAGGGCATTGGGAGGAGTCACTCAGTTATGTCCACAAGAATCTCTGGGCAGACATGCATGGGTCCTGGCTCTGCCACTTGGAAACTAAGTTACCAGTGCCAGTTGCTGATGACTGGCTTCCTGCTAGAGCAACCCCGTGTTGTGTTTCAGAGTACAACTGCGCTCCCCAGGGTGTTCAAGGCTGTGACCTTTCGGAAGCACATCACCAGGCCTTTCTTCAG